ACAGTGTGACAAGTCATGGTGAGGCTTCCAGTTCTGACAAGGCCGTTGCAGAAGCCTACAAGAAAGAATTTGCGGAATTCATGAATGCAGAAGGATACGTCGTTCAACAAGTGTACAACTGTGATGAAACAGGGCTCTTCTGGAAAAAGATGTCAAACAGAAGCTATATCATGCAGGAGGAAAAGGCACTGCCAGGGCATAAGCCCATGAAGGAGATCCCCCCAATGTCCTTATGGAGGGGTACTCTCCCCCCGAACAATAACCGCCTCCCACCTTCCTCCCTGTCCTCCACTCAAGAAGTCGTCTCAAGCAAGGTTAGTGTTCTCTCTCTTCATACTGTACTATACTGTACTTTGTTTCATATTGTTGTGGTTGAAAAACACACAAAAAAAAAGTTCAGAGTGCAGTAACCTTATTTACATTGAACCTTATGGGAAAATTTGATTCGGTCAGTGACCGAATTCAGTTCGCGACCACGTTCGTAGCGGTCAGAATGGATTAACATTGAACCCTATGGGAAAATTTGCCTCGCGCCCAGTTCGGTTGGCAACCAGAGTCATGGGATGAATTAAGTTCGTGAACCGAGGAATCGCTGTATTACTATCTATGGTTTACATTTTCCATCATGAATGCTGCGGCCAGACTCATCCACCTTACTAACCGTTCTGTATCTGCCATCCCCCTCTGCCAATCCCTCCACTGGCCTCCACTCAGTGTCCTCCACCCCTCTCTGTCAATCCCTCCACTGCCTTCACTCAGTGTCCTCCACCCCTCTCTGCCAATCCCTCCACTGACCTCCACTCAGTGTCCTCCACCCCTCTCTGCCAATCCCTCCACTGGCCTCCACTCAGTGTCCTCCACCCCTCTCTGCCAATCCCTCCACTGACCTCCACTCAGTGTCCTCCACCCCTCTCTGCCAATCCCTCCACTGGCCTCCACTCAGTGTCCTCCACCCCTCTCTGCCAATCCCTCCACTGACCTCCACTCAGTGTCCTCCACCCCTCTCTGCCAATCCCTCCACTCAGTGTCCGCCACCCCTCTCTGTCAATCCCTCCACTGACCTCCACTCAGTGTCCTCCACCCCTCTCTGCCAATCCCTCCACTCAGTGTCCTCCACCCCTCTCTGTCAATCCCTCCACTGGCCTCCACTCAGTGTCCTCCACCCCTGCCTGTCAATCCCTCCACTGGCTTCCCATTGCCCAATGGATAAAAATCAAAACACTGACGTATAAAGCCATTTATAACTCTGCCCCAAATTACATCACCTATATTGTCTCTAAATACCACCCAAACCATACTCTCCGCTCCTCGCAAGACCTCCTACTCTCTAGCTCCCTTGTCTCCTCCTCCCATGCTCGTCTCCAGGATTTCTCAAGGGCTTCACCCATCCTCTGGAACTCCCTACCCCAATCTATCAGGCTATCGCCTACTCTGCTCACTTTTAGGCGCACTCTGAAAACCGATCTCTTCAGTCCTTTATAATAATAATAATAATAATAATAACAATAATGGTTTACAAGGTTTGATGTTTGTGTTTATGTTTTTAGGCACATTATAATGTATGCACATGCTTCTCTTCAGGAGTCTCCATGTTCAGGATTTGTTTCTATTTTTCCTGTCATCTGTATCAAAACTGTAATTGATCCTTGACTTTTCTGGCTCCTTGGATGATATCTGTAGTATTCATATTGTCTACTGTTCATGTTTTTGCCTTTCCTAAAGAAACCATTTGTAAAAAAAAAAATAAATGAATAAAACTTTTTCACAATTATTGATGGCTAACATGGTTCAAGACTTTACTACTGCCACTATGCTGATGGAAAGGGAAATTGTAAAACCGTAAATACAAATAACAGTCATGGTAAACTTAATTCTATGCTCTGTGTATAAATTGTATATATTTTTATAATCTTGCGTCTGTGAGGAGAGCTAGGCTGACACCAAGTGGTCTATTTATAAATGTTTTCACCCAAGATTCACCTACCTTTTCCCACAATTTTACACATTTTTTGAGTTGACTCCAACTATAAATATGGGTAAATGTTGTTGTCTGTATTATGGTTGAAAACGTTTATAATTAGAGCCTCAATTATTAGAACCAAGGGAAAGCTTGCAGATTATATACTCAGTGGCCTGGCATGTTGAGATTTAACCATTAGACGCCCGTCCTATAGCCGTTTGGCGGCCGCAAAAATGCTTCAGCTTTCCGGGTGCAAGCAATTTGGCATGCGCAGTTTGCGCGGTTGCAGAGCCGTGCAGCGGCGCGATCTGTCACCGGCCGTGTACCTTGGACACGGCCGATGACAGATCTGAGTACCGGCCCCCGTTGCCAGTACCATGTGACCTGCTGTGACCGATCACAGCAGGTCACATGACAGTTGTATACAATGGATGGCTTCATTCATGCCATCCATTGTATACTAGTGTCTAGCTGTGAATGGTCACAGCAGGTCACATGCACATGTCATGTGATTAGCTGTGGCCAAATCACAGCTAAGCAAAAAAAAAAAAAAAAAAAAACCTGAATGAATCGATTTCATTCAGGTAAATGCTTGCTTATAGCAAAGTAATTCTTTGCTATAAGCAAATTGTGTAAAAAAAAAAAAATACTGATCACTTCCCCAAAGTAGTACAATGTTACTATGGTAACATTGTACTACTTTGGTCATAGTAAAATATAAAAAAAAAAATCTTTAAAAAAATATAAAAAAGTAATAAAAAATTAAAAATAATAAAAAAATAAAAAAAAATTAAAAAATATATATATATATTTTTTTTTTTCATACTGTCACCAGTCAGTGTCCCTGATCACCGCCATGCCAGTTATATGATGATGCTGTACTGCACTGGTGACAGTATATAAAAAAAAAAATAGTGAAAATAATTATTTTAATTTTTTCATTTTCCGAAAAAGTATGACAAAAAAAAATACAACTTCAAAAAACTCGCCATTCCTCTTATGAAGTACGACGGATTGTCTACTCTGCAAAAAGGGGTCATTTGGGGAATATCTGTACTATTCTGACATTTGGGGGGATATCTGTACTATTCTGACATTCTTGGACCTCAAGAAATTAGATTGGCTGTCAGTACTTCAGGATTGATCAATATTCAGATCTATACCATAATTTGTGAACTCTATAACTTTCCTACAAACTAAATAATACATCCTAATTTGGGTTATTTTCACCAAAGACATGTAGCAGAATACATCTCGGCCTAAATTTATGAAGAACAATTATTTATTTGTAAACTTTTATAACAGAAACAAAGAAAAACGTGTTTTCTTTTCAAAATTTTCGGTCTTTTTTTGTTAATTTAGCAAACAATAAAAACCCCAGCGGTGATTAAATACCACCAAAAGAAATCTCTAGTTGTGTGAAGAAAATGATAAAAGTTTAGTTTGGGTACAGTGTTGTATGACCGCGCAATTGTCATTCAAAGTGTGAGAGCGCTGAAACGTGAAAAATGGCCTGGGCAGGAAGGTATACAATTGCCCGGTATTGAATTGGTTAAAGGATTTTCAAAGCCTTTTTGTTTGTTACTTTTACCGGGAACATGCAGTTTAATTTTTCTTGCCATTTAGGTGAATTCGCTGGGCAAAAAAGCTCAGTTTTTCCTTTAGACATTTTTTTTTTAGGGAAATTTTTGTAGGGTAATGCAGTTTATTTTATTTAATGTTCTTGGTGTTTATTTGTATTAGTTAACTATACTTTCTGTGAATAATAATGTAAAATGATCAGGTGCTGTTTTTTGAGGAGTTTTAACAATTTAAAGCCCCCTGAACCCTTAAAAACACACAAACAAAAAAAACCCCTTAAAAAAACAAAAAAATATTTTGCACACAGATGAAATACATAAATGGAAGCTGTTTTACTGCCAAATGCTTTGTATGTCTTTCCACCCTACCCTACAATTTACACAGCTTGGCCACACAATGTAGATGTAGTTAAATTTAGAAATTTGCACTGCTTGCATTTTTTAAAAAAAATGCTTATTGACATTTGAGTATGCACATGTCATACACATCAAAAGAATCTTTATCAAAGGAAATCTTCACTTCAAATCTTATAAAAAGAGCTGTTTCCTACCAAACTGTATATTAAAAAAAAAAAAGAATGACAACGTCCCCCTTGACAGTGCCCAGCCTCTGGTGCCCCTTTTTTTTTTGACAATCCCTTGCCTATTATCTTTGAAAATGAAGATAATTGAATTATAACATTAATCTCATATTTACGTCAATGGGGTACTCAGTATCCTCCCTAGGCGCTCTGATTATGTCCATATTTCTGTGCTCAAAGCGGTACATTTTTTTCATGGAAAAATGTATTTTTTTTATTGTAGGCCTGTAATTCTTAGGAATAACTCACTGAAATCTGTCCGAACAAGAGTCTAGTAAACATCCGGGGATGATAAAACTTGAAACACAAAATCATAAATTATAATATAATAAATAATCATAAAAAATAATAATATAATAATAATAATTAATTCAATAATATAATCAAACCAAAAACACTGAAATGTGAAATATAGCGCCAAGTTCGCACATCGCTGAGCAAAGTCGCAGAATCGTTTTCAGTGTCTGATGATGAATTTCCCCCACGAATCATTATCACTCAATTCTGCAAGTGGTTCTGATTTACTATCGCTGTTCTCTAGCCGGTCTAAAACCGCTTTTGACCTAAAGGGATGCTTTTTGGACGCCATGAACGTTTCTCAGTTTCCAGGCAGAAAGAACATTCAAAATGCAGGCAGGGCGCCGGACAAAACACTCGGGACAAAATGTATGTGAAATGGTTTGATACAGGAATGTTATACTATGTGATTTTAGTGTATTTAGTGAATGTCACTTTTTGACATTTTTAAATTTCCCGCCGTTCCGTCCCCCGTACGTCCCGACGTCGCAGGAAACGGAACCCGGAAGACAGATGCCGGCATCGGCCGGATTACATTGCCAGGGACACTGCAGGGGGGACATCGCGGGAGCGAAGGACAAGGTAAGTGATCGAGGGATCCCGGAGCAACGCTGCAATGTATTCCCAAGTGTAGCTCGGGGTTACCGCTTGTGGTGCTGAAACTTTACCCCGAGCTACACTCGGGAATACCGCCAGGGAGATTAAAGTTCGTAATTTCTAGGTGTTCACCAAACCCACTTCAAATTAAACCCAAGCAGATTCACCCATCACTAGCCAATTGACAAAAAAAAAGAAGTCTATTTGATCTTATTGAACCATCAGTGAACCTTTAGTTTAATCTAATCAGCCCTAATTAACTCTTTCTCCCATTTTTCCCTTACCTATTGTTTTTCTGCAGTTTTTTTTTTTTAATTTTATTTCTGTTTTTCTAACCATTAATGTTGAAACTCCTTTTGCTTTTATTCAATAATTTTTTACTGTTGGAAAAAAAAAACAATTAAAGACATAATTTTGTTTGTAATTATCTTTGCAATTCTTTGTGCCAGAATCATAATTGTAGTATCATTTTAAACAGGAAAAAATATAATTTTAGTATCATTTTAAACAGGAAAAACATATAAAAAGTATACTTTTTATCCAGAATAAAACTATATTTTTAAATGTGTTTTTGTCATTTTTTTTGTCTATTAAATAAAATCATTTTTTTCAAGGAAGCATGTTTGTTGTGAGAATAAAATGCATTACTGACTTACCTTACCATGTGCCTCCCTGAGGATTTACCTCCCTTCCTGACCAGGCCATTTTTGCATTACGGCGCTGCCAGGGGCGGACTGACAACTCATGGGGCCCCCGGGCAATAGGGGATCATGGGGCCCCTGTGTCCTTGCCCAAACTGAAAAAAGCCTATGAAAAAGGTACCAGGGGCATCTCATGGGGCCCCCTACTGACCCTGGGCCCTCGGGCAGTGCCGAGTTTCCAAATGGTCAGTCCGCCCCTGGGCGCTGCATTACTTTAACTGACAATTGCACGGTCATGCAACGCTGCACCCAAGTTAAATTTATGTTCTTTTTCCCATGAATTGAGCTTTCTTTTGGTGGTATTTGATTGCCTGTGCATTTTTTGTGCTTTAAAAAAAAAGCCCGACAATTTTGAGAAAAAAATATTTTTGACTTTTTGCTATTACACGTCCAGTAAAAAAATTTTAAAAAATCAAATTTCATCATAAATTTACGCCAAAATGTATTCTGCTACAAAACAAATCCCAATACATGTAAATTAATTGGTTTACGTGAAAGTTATAGTATTTACAAATGGCGGCATAGATACTGGGATTTTTATTTTATTTTATTATTTACTAGTAATGGCGGTGATCAGTGACTTATAGCGGGACTGCGGATGACATTCTGACACTAGGGGGAGCTGACTTGGTGTCGCTGACATCCCCAGTGACACCAATATAGTGATCAGTGCTAAAAAAAAGGCACTGAAACTGTACTAATGGCACTGGGCAGGAAAAGGTTAACATGAAGGATGATCAAAAGGTTAACTGTGTGCAGGGAGTGTTTTACTAGGGGGCGGTGTCAGTGTGCTTCACAGTAAGCACACTGCTCTGGATGGCTGTGCTCCCCACCAGGGGCGGTTAAACAACATTCCTGGGGGATGCCCTTAACCTGCTACAGCATGACAGGAATTTACAAACCAAGGAATGTCATATAAATTGTATATATATGGCAGCTTCTGGGCTGAGTGTTCTATTTGTAAACAAAAGCCAGAAATTCCCTTCATCTATAACAGACCCTCTCATCTTGGATGAGGGACCACGCACAAAAATGGCATGGGTTCCCCTAAAAATATATACCAGGCTCTTATCCGTGATGAGAGTCTGCTATGGATGACATGAAAACAAAATGTGGGGCTTTTAAAAGTAAACCTCAGGACCTTTGGGATTTATTTACTAAAGCTGGAGAGTCCAAAATCAGACTCCCTTCTGCATAGAAACCAATCAGCTTCCAGGTTTCATTGCCAAAGCTTCATTGAACAAGCTGAGGTTAGAAGCTGATTGGTTTCTATGCAGAAGGGAGTCTGATTTTGGACTCTCCAGCTTTAGTAAATAAACCCCTTTGAGTCTCTTATGAATTTTAAGGGAGACCCCCTTGTAAAACGCATAGAGAAAAAGTGTGAGGTCTTCTTCAAAATCCATAACAGACTCTTATCCGAGTATATAATACAGTAATGAAGGATGGGGGGGACACGTGCCCCTTCTTGAACCATTTTAGGCCACATGAACTCAACATGGTGGGATACCTTGCTCATGTCAATGAGGAAAAGGACCTCTTCTCTACAACCTTTGCCCGGAGGTTGTGGGGGTCTGCAGGGTGCTTTTTGGAATCTAGAAGCACCCTTTAAACATAAGGGGATTCCCAGATACTGCCCCCATCTACATGAGCGAGTAAGGAGCACATAGTTTTTTATTTATTGGTGAGGGGTAGAACCCCTGCTAGGTTTTATAGCTGCCTGTGCCCCCCGCTAGAATGATTTGCACCTTTTTTTTGTTCTGGTGACCATTGATTGTCACTATTACAGGAAGTTATGGTAAATCCACATTTTATGTGTATATATACTTCATACAGTTTTAAGGATTTACTTTCTTACATTTCTGTGACTTTTAAAAGTTATTAAGAGTAAACCTCAGTTACGGATTAAAGAAATGATAATTAATTACACCGACTTTCATTTGAGGAACATTTGTATGCCCAGTGCACACTAAAAACATGCAGTGCATGACCAACCTAAAACTAATAAAATTCAAAAATAATTGTTAATTAACCATTACGCAAAGATCATTAAGGTAATGACTGACGTTACTGGAAGCAATCGAATCTGACATTATGTAACATTTGAGATGACACTTAAAAGTTTATGCTGGATAGTAATTAATGAAAAGCTGAGATATTTTACAAAATACTGAAGCTTCAATGAACCTCATAAAGTGCAAAGTAAAATATGCAAAATGATCCAGCTTCTAATATGTAATTTCTTTAAATCAGTGTAATACATTGCAAGGTGCTTAGCTAATTTTACTGCAGATCATTACTTGCATCTTTCCTGTAGATATAGAGAACAAATGTTCTAAATCTACTACTGAAGGGACTTTGCTGGCGATGCCTTCATTCATCAACAAAGCTACTAATTCACAGCCTTTTTATCTCCCGTATTGACTATTGCAGTTCCCATCTCGTTGACTTACCTTTACACAGGTCAACCCCCATTCAGTCTATCATGACTGCTGCTGCTAGACTTGTCCACCTTGTTAACCAATCTCCAGTTCCCACCTCTCTCTGCTACCTATAACTTATTATATAAAATTTAAAAAACTTAAAACAATGTACAAAGCCACCTACAAATCTGCCTCCAGCTAAATCACCAATCTCATCTCAAAATGTCACCCAAACTGTCCTCTCCACTCCTCCCAAGACCTCCTGCTCCTTAACTCCCTCTTCCAGTGCTCACCTTTAGGACTTCTCCAGAGCCTCTCTCATCTTTTGGAACTCCCTAACCACATCTGTCTGGCTATCTCCTACTCCGTCTTTATATGTTTCCTTGAAACTCATCTCTTCAGTGAAGCTATGCCACCTTTAACCCCCCTAGCGGTATTCCCGAGTGTAGCTCGGGGTTAACTTTCAGTACCAGAAGTGGTAATGCCGAGCTACACTTGGGAATACGCTGCAGCGCTTCTGCAGCAATCCCTGCAGCACTCACCTTGTCCTGTGGTCCCGCGATTCCCCCATGCAGTGTCCCTGACAGGGGCGGACTGACCATTTGGAGACTCGGGCACTGCCCAAGGGCCTAGGGTCAGTAGGGGGCCCCATGAGATGCCCCTGGTACCGTTTTCATAGGCTTTTTTGAGTTTGGACAAGGACACAGGGGCCCCATGATCCCCTATTGCCCGGGGGCCCCATGAGTTGTCAGTCTGCCCCTGGTCCCTGGCCATGTCCTCCAACCAATGGCGGCATCCATCTTCCAAATTCCGTTCCCTGCGAGCATCGGGACTTACGGGACACACGGGGGACGGAACCGGCAGGAAATTCAAAAATGCAAAAATTTGACATTCACTAAATACACTAAAATCACATAGTATAACATTTCTGTATCAAACCATTTCACATACATTTTGTCCCGAGTGCTTTGTCCGGCGCCCTGCCTGCATTTTTACTGTTCTTTCTGCCTGGAAACTGAGAAACGTCCATGGCGTCCAAAAAGCGTCCCTTTAGGTCAAAAGTGGTTTTTAGACCGGCTAGAGAACAGCGATAGTAAATCAGAACCACTTGCAGAATTGAGTGATAATGATTTGTGGGGGAAATTCATCATCAGACACGGAAAACAATTTTGTGACTGAACTCAGTGAACTTGGCGCTCTATTTCAAATTTCAGTGTTTTTGGTTTGATTACATTATTGAATTCAATTTATTATTATTATATTATTATTTTTCATGATTATTTATTATATTATAATTTATGATTTCGTTTTTCAAGTTTTATCATCCCCGGGATGTTTACAAGACTCTTGTTCGGACAGATTTCAGTGAGTTATTGCTAAGAATTACAGCCTACAATAAAAAACTACATATTTCCATTGAAAACAATGTACCGCTTTGAGCACAGAAATACTGACATAATCAGAGCGCTAGGGAGGTTAATAAACAATTGTATTTTTATCTTCTCCAGAAGCTGATCCCTCACCATTATTACCTTTTATACTTCTTGCCCCTCCTTTTAAGCTAGCCATAGATGGATCCAAATTTCAGCAAGGACCAGCTGAATTTTGATTTTTCTATGTCCTTCCTGCTCAACAGAAGTTGGCCTAACATTTGACATTTGTTGAATGGGATTGTTGGAAAATTTTTATTCAATCAGTGGCTGCAGCGCTGATCAGCAGAGATGTGCACAACAGAAAAATGTATTTCGTTTCATTTCAGATTCATTTCTTTAGGTCAATCATTTTGTTTTCTCACATTCATTATGTTAGAATGATTTATTTTCAGAATTACATAGTTAGTCTGGTTGAAAAAAAAGACAAAAGTCCATCCAGTTCAACCATTAAAAAAAAAAAAGTTATAATCCTATACCCACAGTTGATCCAGAGGAAGGCAAAAAACCAGCAAAGCATGATCCAATTTGCTCCTGCAGGGGAAAAAAAATCCTTCCTGATCCCCGAGAGGCAATCAGATATTCCCTGGATCACCTTTACTATAAATGTTATATCCAGTTATATTCTGTGTATCCAAGAAAGAATCCAGGACTTTTTGAAGCAATCTACTGAACTGGCCACAACCAACTCTTGAGGGAGTCTATTCCACATTTTCACAGATCTCACTGTGAAGAAACCTTTCATGTTTGGAGATTACATCTCTTTTCCTCCAGACATAAAGAGTGCCCCCTTGTCCCTCTGTGATGACCTCAGGGTGAATAGCTCTACACTGAGTTCACTATATGAACCGCTGATGTATTTATACATGGAGATCATATCCCCCCTTATGTATTATACATGGAGATCATATCCCCCCCATATGTATTATACATGGAGATCATATCCCCCTTATGTATTATACATGGAGATCATATCCCCCCCTTATGTATTATACATGGAGATCATATCCCCCTTATGTATTATACATGGAGATCATATCCCCCCTTATGTATTATACATGGAGATCATATCCCCCCTTATGTATTATACATGGAGATCATATCCCCCCTTATGTATTATACATGGAGATCATATCCCCCCTTATGTATTATACATGGGGATCATATCCCCCCTTAATTGCCTCTTCTTCAGAGAGAATAAATTCAGTTCCTCTAATCTTTCCTCATAGCTGAGCTCCTCCATGCCTCTTATCAGTTTGGTTGCCCTTCTCTGTACTTTCTCCAGTTCCCCAATGTTCTTTTCGTGAATTGCTGCCCAAAACTGAACTGCATATTCCAGATATGAGGTCTTACTAATGATTTGTACCGGGGGGGGGGGGGGGGGGGGGGGGGAATGATATCTCTCTCTCTGGAGTCTATACCTCTTTTACTACAAGAGAGGATTTTGCTCACTTTAGAAACCGCAGCTTGGCATTACATGCCATTATTAAGCTTGTGATCTACTAGAACTCCCAGATCCTTCTCCATCATTGACCCCCCCCAGATCCTTCTCCACCATTGACCCCCCCAGATCCTTCTCCACCATTGACCCCCCCAGATCCTTCTCCAACATTGACCCCCCTAGTTGTACCCCCTCCCCCAGTATGTATGATGCATGCATATTCTTAGCCACCAAATGCAGAACCTTACATTTATCAACATTAAACCTCATTTGCCACATAGTTGCCCAATTACACAGAGCATGGAGGTCGGCTTGTAAATTGGAGACAACCTGTAAGAACGTTATTCCACCACACAGCTTGGTGTCATCTGCAAAGACTGAAATGGTCATTTTAATCCCAGACCCTATATTGTTTATAAATATATTAAAAAGTAAGGGTCCCAACACTGAACCTTGGGGTACAACACTGACACCCTTAGATCATTCAGAGTATGAATCATTAACCACTACTCTTTGACTACCATCTTTTAGCCAGTTTTCTATCCATTTACATACAAATTTTTCCAAGCCTGTAGACTTTACCTTACACATTAGCTGTCTTTGGGGAACTGTGTCGAGCACTTTTGCAAAATCCAACATACCACGTCCACCGCCACCCCTCTGTCCAAGTATACCACGTCCACAGCTACCCCTCTGTCTAAGTATACCACGTCCACCGCCACCCCTCTGTCCAAGTACACCACGTCCACCGCCACCCCTCTGTCCAAGTACACAATGTCCACCGCCACCCCTCTGTCTAAGTATACCATGTCCACCACCACCCCTCTGTCCAAGTATAACCACGTCCACCACCACCCCTCTGTCCAAGTATACCACATTCACAGCCACCCCTCTGTCCAAGTATACCATATCCACCGCCACCCCTCTGTCCAAGTATACCACATCCAACACAACCCCTCTGTCTAAGTATATCACGTCCACAGCCACCCCTCTGTCCAAGGTTTTGCTCACCTCATAAAAAGAAATCAGATTTGTTTGACAACTTCTGTCTTTCATGAATCCATGCTGTCTGTTGTTTTAAATATTTTTTTTCCAGCAAGAACTCATCTATGTGGTCTTTTATTAAACTCTCCAGTATCTTCCCAACTATAGAAGTTAAACTAACGGGTCTATAATTAGATTTTGACCCATTTTTAAATATTGGCCCCACATTGGCCTTACACCAGTCCAGTGGTACTATGCCAGTCATTAAAGAGTCCCTAAAAATTAGAAACAATGGCTTTGAAATGACAGAGTTCAATTCTTTAAGGCCCCCCGTGGGTGTATGCCATCCGGTCCAGGGGCTTTATTCACCTTTATTCTGTCTAAATATTTCTGGATCATATCAATTGTGAGCCAATGTGGATCATCTGGAGCTGTGTCAGTACCATGTCCATTATGGACAAGAGCCTCCCCCCCCATGCTCCTTTGTATACACAGACTTCATTTTGTATATTCATGTTTGTTTCATATATTCGTTGTTCCAAATAGATTTGTATTTTCAGAAGTTTATTTAGAAGAGTCAGATTCATTCATTATGTCTTTATGTTATTTAGGCAACTTGCTTCAATGCGACTTGTTTGCAACTTTGGTGAAATGCTTACTTGCGACTTTGGTGTGACTTGCTTGCGACTTCGATGCAACTTTCACATGACTTCAATGTTTTGGAACTTTGGCTTTGGCCAAATATAACAATACAAACTTTGACACATATCAGTGAACTTACAAAACCCCCTGAAGTCTTAAACAAATGAATATAAATAAAACCATTGTTATCATTATAATTTATTTTGTATTTGTTGAAATTCGTTTACTATTGTTATTCGGAGATTTGTGTACACCCAAATCTCTGAATAATGAAAATTTAGTCTGACTTTCGACTCATAATGAAATAAATCATACATGCCTACTAACTAATCAGCGTCGTTAAGTAACAAGTGAATTTTGGTGTCATTAATAGAAATGAGTGCTCTGCCTCTAACATACAACCAGCAGGGGGCATCATGTTGTAAAATGTTAACATACAGATTCAAAGGCAGAAAGGGGTTAAAAAATAAGGTATCTCTAGTTTAATATATCTATGTAGTCCTCCCATGCTCTGAGTACCTAATCTTAACATACAGCTGCTAACACCTTACCATATACCAAATGGAATAATGCTCAGTGAAAAATAATTAGTGCTGCACTAATAATAATTATAAATCAAATAGTCAAGAAAATAAATATAATCAAGAAAATTAATCCTCACAACTTAAACATATAATTAAATCACAAAAAATAAATGTAGAAATAGAATACACATGAAAACATCCAAAATAATAAATAACAGTGAAAATACACTCAAAATTTATATATAAAAGGCATAATCTACAGTAGGTACACTATAAATGGTAAATAGGTGACTATGGGTGACAAAACCTTAATAACCCTACATGGTGCCAACATAGATATTGATAAGATCCACACATGGGATCCCAACAAGACAGTGCTTGTACCTACATATTAGCCTATAACAAACACTTACATGTAGGTACAGTGAATATCTCCTAAACTTGCAGTGTTTAGGAAACATTCACACTGAAAGGATCCGTCACCGGAGCATGCGCACTCTGCTCTAAATTGATGGCATACTGAGTATGCCGACAATTCAGAG